ATAAGAATCTGTGCCCTTCATCACATTATTCTGCTATTCTGCACTAGCTATTAAAAATGTAGCATGTGAGCACTCTTCAATCAGACAGTGCTCTTTCTTGGTACATAGTCTAGAGAACCAGTACATGCCTGAGGAGGCATGTGCCAGAATGTTCACTGAGACACATTTGTAAGTTTAAAAAACTCTAGCCAAGCTATACATCACCATCAGTACAAGAGTAGACAAAGTGTGGGACTGCTGTACTGAGATACTAATACTACCTACCTGTTTTTAAAAAAGGATGGAGTTCTTTGGAATTGGATTGACATTATAAGATTCCCAAAATTTATTATAAAGTAAAAGAAGCCAATTGCAAAGAAAGTAAATACAATTTAATACTATATGTACAGTAAAATTTACTATCATGTAACAAGTAGAAAAATGCCTGAAAGTTTAACCAAATCCTTCCCTCCTGGGAGCATACTGAGATACAGGGATGGTGCAGAGAGTGGGGGGACATCCTGTCTATTTTTAGGAACAAAAATGTATCTATTTATGATCTGTATAATTAAATTGGGCATAAAACTTTAAAAAAATAATAAACTTTCCCTAAAAAAAAAAAGAAAAAGAGAAAAGAAAGAAAGGTAAATCCTGTGTTCTTTCCAGTTAACACATTGTTTCTCTAAGGTTGTCTTTGAAGCCTACCATGACCCCTCTGTTAATACACATAACTTGATATTGACTTGTCATCTCTAGCAGAGGATAATAAATCTGTCCTCAGACTTTCTCACCTTCAGAGAAGCCACGAAACATGAACCACAGTCTGTCTTAACTGTTCTTTTGCCTTCCAGAGAACAGTCAGTGCTCCACGGTGTGGTGACTAAACTGTGAGTCAAACAGTGTGTGTCAGTGTTTTCATGTGTGGGACAACACTTTCAGGAAGTGGTCACCCGGGGAGGTATCGCAGCTGACGCACAGGGTCCTCATTAACAGCCCGGGCCCTGACAAGTTAGTATGCCCTCTCTTTCCTCTCCATCATTAGCAGTGGTCCCCAGAATGCCATGCTGTAAATGACTCTCTCAGGTGAGCATTACTCTGGAGACATGTTTACCATTAATTGGTACATCACTTTAAAAAGAGATCACTGCGGTAACCACAACAGAAAAGGAAGCTCATGAACCAACTCAAGTCTCTCCTTAAAGCCTCCTGAGTAATATTATGCACACCATTTATGTAACAGGTTCTTACCAGGCACCTGACACACATTCTTCTAATCCTTAGAATGTTCTCATTACCTCCTTTACAGTTGAAAAAATAGGCTCAACACCTTGCCCAGGTAAGCAGCAGAGCCAGATGTAGATTTGTCCCTGGCAGCCAGGGTTTGGTCCATAGACCTGTGATGCCTCCTGGTCAGAAAAGTGTTTTCTAGCCATGAGGTTCCTCCAGATTGTTGGGTAAGTTCTCTAGGAATGTGGAGAGTCATCATCCAAGCAGTATTGAAGGCTGTCCAAAAAAAAAAACGAATGAAATACATCAGTACACACAGTACATCAGTCTAAGTAAGGATTCTATTTATATGAAATGTGAAGAAGCAAGTCTATAGGGACAGAACTTAGACTAGTGTTTACCTGGGGCTGCATATGTGTTGGCACTGGGCATGGACTTGGGGAACTGGAGAGGTATAGGATTCTTTTTAGTGTAAGGAGAACATTCTAGAAATGATTGTAATGATGGTCGTACAACCCAATTATAATGATAGCCATTGGGTTGTTTGTATACTTTAAGTGGGTGAATTGTATGGTATATGAATTGTCTCATTAAAGCTGTTTTTAAAAAGAGAGATGTTATAGAGCACCTGCTTTGCAAGCTCGAAGCCCTGAGTTCAAACCCCAGCTCTAACAAAAAAAAAAAAAAGAGAGAGATATTAAAGAGATGCTATTACTGTGGATCACAGGACCTGGCACTTCCAACTCAAAACCACACTTTTATACATTTGCTGGCCCTTGTCCCATCCTTGTGCTGTGTGCTGCCACACTAGTTATAAGGTACCATAAAAAATTAAACTGGAGCTGGGAATATAGCTCAGTGGTAGAGCACTTGCCTAGTATGTGTAAGGCCCTGGGCTTTCTCCCCAGCACCACAAAATAAAATAAAGCAAAATAAAATTGAACTTAGATTTTGTTCTTTCTGCCGTATGTTTACATTTAGCCCTTAAATTATTTGCTCAGTAATACTGAGCAATATAAACCCTTTATTTCAAAGCAAATTTACAATTCTTGCTTCTGTCCTTGACTTGAACCTCTAGTGGGACAAGTAAATTTCTGTTACCAACTGCTGTCAACAGGAAAGCTGTTCCTTTCCATCTGTTCTGCAAAGGTGGGTAGGCTACCTGTTCTCATCAGCATGGGGACAGTGTGTTTCCATTCACTTTTCTTGGTTCTCTGTGTAATGTTAGACCTATACTTGTTGCAAGTCAAGCTTCTTTCTTTTCTTCCTTTTCCTCCCTTTTCCCTTCCCTTCCTTCTTCCTTCCTTCACCCTTCCTCCCTTCTTTTTCTCCTTCCTTCTTTCCATCCCTTCCTTTTCCTCCTTTCCCTCCTTCCTTTCCTTTTTTTTTTTTTTTTTGCAGTGCTAGGGATGAAACCCAGGGCCCCCAACATGATAGGCAAGTGTTCTATTACTGTGTTACCCTCCCCACTCCAAAGTTTTCTTTAAAGTTTTTCATTCTCATGTAAAATAGGTATCATAAGAGTTGTCAATTCTTTTTTTAAAAAATTATTTTTTTGTTGTTACTGTTTCAGTACTGGGGATTGAATCCAGAGGCTCACACATGTTAGGCAAGCTCTCTACTACTTGAGCTATGCCTCCAGACCTTTTGTTTTGTGGTTGTGTTTTTGAGACATGATCTTACATGGTATTTGTCCAGGCTAGCCTCAAACTCACAATCCTTTGCCCATGTCTCTTGAGTAGTTTATAGACGTATACCACCATGCTGGGCTTAAAAAATGGAATTTAAAAAACACTTTCAGTCTAGTGGGGACAACTTTCTCATTATGCATTTTTATGACCTCTAAGAAATATAGTCTGCCCTCCACATCTGTCGGTTCCACATCTATGGATATAACCAACTGCAGATCAAAAATATTTGGAAAAAAATTGCATCTGTGCTGAACAAGTATAGATTTCTGTCATTCTAAACAATATTATCTAGCAACTATTTGCATAGAATTTACATCGTGCTAGGTGTTATAAGAAATCTAGAGCCTGCTGCTGAGGCAAAGTTCTCCTAACATTGTGCAACCCCACCTGGGCTCCCTCTTCCTCTCCTCATTTCTAATCACTGGAGGATTTTTAGGTGTTAGTGAAACCTTGAACTGTTGTCAGGAAACTTGGCTCAGGCAACCATCTCTCAGGGTATCAGACAGCCTGAAAAAGTAGGAGCAAGGCAGGAATTGGGTGTCTGTCAATGGTTGAGCAGCTGAAGTCACATGGAATAGGGGTTCCTCTTCTGTGGTACAATTGAATCCTTTAGGGTCAGCCTTTCCCACCACAAGCTTAGTTTGGGCTTCTGTTTTAGGGCTCCCAGGATCCCCAGACTCACCATTTGCAGTTTCTAACTGCCTCTTCTCTGTTCTTGTTCACCACAGTGTGGTTCTTTCCTTCTCCTGAGCCCCTTAGTGTTTGAGGCCTGTAAGGGGAAGTGGGACCCCACTGTTTGGATATGATTTCCAGGCTCAGGGCTCCATGAAGGATAAGTTTGGAACTGGGTGCCTGTGGCTCATGCCTATAATCCTAGCTACTTGGGAGGCTGAGAGCGAGAGGATTATACTTCAAGGCCAGCCCCAGCAAATAGTTTGTGAGAACCCCATCTCCAAAATAACTAGAGCAAAATGGTCTGGAGGTGAGGCTCAAGTGTCAGAGCATCAGCTTTGCAAGTGCAAAGTCCTAAGTTCATACCCAAGTGGTGCTAACACATGTCTGCAGGTAGAATGAATGGGAAGAAGGGTCTGGATTCAGACCCACCTGTGTTTTCAGAACTGCCCCATATCCGTGTGAGTTGTGCCCTGTGCAGCTCTGGTGACCCCTTACATGCTAAACAGGTCTGGCTGCACAGCTCTGAAGGCAGCCTTATGGCTGTGTGCTCTTAAGACGGTTGATGAACCTCTCTGAGCCTCATGTTCTTGGCCCATAAAATGTAGTAGGCAGTAGTAACTATCCTTTTGTCAGCTTAAGACAAATTAAATGAAATAATGTACCTGGGGACTAATCAAGTGCTTACTGCCTGTTTCTATTAATGGAAGCATGTTAGCTCAAAAATGCAACCTGGTCCCTGCCCTCCCCTGGGGCTCCTGTCTGGAGCTCTAAAGAAGCAGCAGTTTCCCAATTTCCAAATCTGTCTACCTGGAAATTCACTGGAACGTAGTCAGCTTCTTTTTCAGGAATCAAAGACATATATGTATATACTGGTCTTGTTAGGTAGCCCATGCTGGCTTTGAACTTGCCATCCTCCTGCCTCAGCCTCCAGAGTGCTGGGATTATAGGCATGCACCACCACCACTGCCATACAAACTTTTTTGAGTCCAATATGAAAAAATGTTCAAGAGAGAAAGAAAGCGAAGTGAGAGGAGGGGGCACTAGTCCCAAGTTCATGGGTTTCTTCCCTCCACGTCTGGGCTCTGTCTGCCTTGGAATGGCCCTAGCACTATGGAATTAGTGGCTCTCAAATAGGGCTGCCCTCCACCCCAGGGAACACTGGACAGTGTCATACTTGAAGAAGTGGGAAGTGCTGCTGGCATCTAGTGGATAGAGGCCCAGGACACTGCTAAACATCCCACAAGGCACAGGAAGACCCTCAGCACCGTGGACCAGTAGCACTGTGGTCCAGGACCACAGGGAACTTCCACCTGCCATTGACCTGAGTGCAGGTGAACATCAAAGCCACACCATCTGGCTTCTGGAATTCCTGGGGAGCACCAGGGCAATTGCAGAAGGCATGGTGATGTTTTCATGTTTCTCTTCTAGATCACAAGGCATGAAAGGATGACAGACTCAGGCAGGCCCCAGAAGCCCAAGCTGTGTTTTTTATCCACGTTGCTCTCCCAGAAGGTTCCAGAGAAGTCCAACGCCGTGCTTCGCTGCATGATAGCTGGTAACCATTCCTAGACTGGCTGCTCACCTTCAAATGCTTTCCCGCAGACCAGCTTTTTTGGCTTACAAAGACACAATGAAAACATCACTTAGGAAAATTATCTTGGAAATTTATTCTGAGTAATCAGTTAAGCAACTAAGTCCTAACTGTTTGGTGATCTTCTTCACTTCATGTTGTGGTTCTTGGTTGGGCGACGCTGACACTGGCTAATTTTTCACGTAATCCACAGTTCACTTCCTGTGACGCCTAGGAATGGCACGAGTAACTTCACTTTAGAAAGTTGATTGAGCGCTTCTGTTGCCAAATTGGCTAAATTTGTTTCCCACTGCTTGCCATCCTCAGGCATGCTAGTAAACATTGAACAGTTTAAAACAGAGGCAAAGGGTATCTGGTGGAGGAAAGCCAAGGATTGGAATTTCCCCTGGTTTGGAAAATAAGTCAGAGTTGATCAGGTGTTAGTGCTACAAATGGCAAAAAGGATTGCTGATTAAGAGAGACTAACATAGCAACTGGATAGAGAAGGGATACCTTGTCTCTTCTGGGTGGTTCCCTTTTCTTTCTTAGACTGTGGCTTGCCTTCAAAAACATGAATGCCCCAGTGATGTTTCCTAAGGGCAAACAGAAATCTCTTGTCCTCTTTTTACTAAATCCAGAAAGAAGATGTGGAGGCCTTGGAAATTAATGGCTGCCCTTTGCTAGCAGAAGTCATATAAAACCTTGTCTTTGATCTGGAGGCCAACTGAGCTCAGCCTTCCCAAGCCCAGAGCTTGCTTTCTTTGTGTTCATCGATCATCATTTAGACAGGCAGAGAGATACAAGTTGACCTTGAGGGATATGAGTTGACCTTGAGTCTTCTGACAGACCCCCCCCCACCCCTGCCCAAGTTTAGAACCTAAACTTGGTTGCTGGTCCTTACACGTGTACATTAGCCGCACAATTCTGAAATGTCCAGGAGGTGGCTATCAATATGTGACTCACAGATCCAAAAACAAGAGGAGGAAAGGTTAGGGGTGTAAATGGCTTGCCTAGCACGCGTGAGTCCCTGAGTTCTACCCCCCAGCACTGGAAAACAAGTGAAATAAGATAATTAAATCTTTAAGTTTTTTAAAAAAAGGATTTGGACTGGAGCGATGGTTCATGTGGTGAGCACTTGCCCAGCAAGTGTGAGGCCCTGAGTTCAATTTCTAGTACCTCCAAAACCTCTTTTAAATAAAAAAAAGGGGGGGGAAGGGAGAATTTCCAGGTGAAATTTCCAGCAAGTGAGGGAGAAAAGAGAACCACCCACAAGGTACAAAACACTGCTTCTCATTTCTGGCTGATGGTTCAGATCTAAACTGCACAAAGGGAAAAAATAAGTCAGCCATCAGGAACCTGGGGGAAATCAACCAGCTCTGATCAGTCTGAATGAACAACTGGGGTCCCGGAGGCCAGAATAGCTTTCCCTGGCTAGCTCACATACATTTTATACACTTTCTTCAAAAAAGGCATGCACACACACCAGAGGAGCAATTGAGTGCTTTCTGAACAGCAAGCTAGTAAAACTAACTGAATGCAGGATACAAGGTTGATAAGAACAGGCAGAAATGAATTCTGCCAGGCAACATCTGTGATGGTTTTCAGGAAGCTCACTTGGGAAGGGTTGCCTGTAAGAACTCAGGCAAGCAGCTGCTGGAGAAGGACATGTCCTTGTATAAGGTCTCTTGCTTCTAGCCCAGGGGATAGCTATTCAGGCCCTACTTGAAGGAGGAGGCAATGAAGAAGAACCCTTAGTTGCCAAAAAGGACATTCATGGCATTGGCACAGAGAGAAGGAGAAAGAGGGGCTCTGAGCAGTTTTAGGTCCTGCCCATGGCACAGGTCTCACCAACTTTTTCTTATTACCTTCCTGGTCTCTTTTAGCACTCTCCTTCCTATGGACTTAGAAGAAAAGGACATTCATAAGCTGGGCATGGTGGTGCACACCTGGAATCCTAGCACTTAAGAGGCTGAGGCAGGAGGATTGTGAGTTTGAGGCCAGTGTGGGCTATAAAGTGAGACTTTGCCTCAAAAAACAAAAAAAAAAAAAAAAAAGAAAAAGCATAGGGCATTCTTACCCTAATGGTTTAGGGTTGCTTTCCAAAACTCATATAATGAACAAGACAAAAACACAAGAACATTTCTGGAATGGATTCTGAATGGTATATTATTTGAAAATACCAGGCTTTCCTTACATTTTGAAAAATTCTTAGTGACATGGAAGCTAGAGAGATCTGTGGGACACACTGGAGATTTTCTTGCCTTGTAACAAGGAGGGGGGGAAAATCCCAAGAGGTGGGCCAATTCCTAGGGGTTCTACCTGATTTGTCCATTAGTATCATACCAGGGAAGGATGAACCCTTCTGAGGGAGAAAGCTTGGGTCAATTTCTGTGATAACATCAGTCACACATGCATAGTGTCAGCCCAGAAAATGTACACTTAGAATTCCTTTCTCCTCAGGAGAAAGTAAAAATAAATACCATTTTTGTTCTTCTCATCCACTTCATTCTTCTCTGTATTTTGTACCACACCATACACCTGACTTTGAGCACTATTAAAGTACAATTTTCAAAAAGGAAAAGTGATTTCCATGCAAATATGAAATTAACATTTCAAAGGTTTATTCAAGTCATTAATTAGGGAACCAGAGAGTATTAAGGCCTGAGAAGCTAGGATTGCCTATAATTTTAGGATAAGTTTGCTGGGTTAGGTATAACACTGTTTAATGTCCCGTAGGGCAGAAAAAAGCTCATGGAGTTATCTTCTCTGCTAGATGGAAATTACTTGCCTTTCTGTTGGATACAAACCTACAAGTGAATATAACACACCTTCACTGAATCTGGGCATTTCAATCAATAACCACTGAGTAAAACAAAGTACATTACCCCAGATCATTCTTGGATGAGCCTTGCCTCCATGTGACAATAAAAAAGATACCATTCATATCTTTGCTTATTAGATAATATTGCTTTATGGCTCCTTGTGATTTGGGATGGCATTTTTCATTTTGTATTCCCCTTCCCAGCACAGCACTATCAGAGGCACATAATATATCCTCAGATAAATACTGTTGCACTTACTGAATTGCACATTTGTATCAGTGGGAGGAAGCTTTCTAGTTCCCCAAGTGACAATCCATTGTGCTCATCCCTATTGTTTATTGTCATTTTTGTTCATAGCTTTATGACTTTTTTTCTATTAAATATACTTAAAGTATTGAGAATATTCTTTTTTTTTTTTTTCTTTTTATCATCAGGCCAGCCCAAGCCAGAGGTAACTTGGTACAAGAATGGTCAAGCCATAGATGAGTGTGGCATTGTTTCCAGTTATGAGTTCCTTGAGAACCAGTATATTCACTTGTTGCATCTGTCTTGGTAAGTGGCTTTGCCCTGTGACATTGTACTAACATTCTGTATTCCGTCATGTGCTGATTACTGTGCTAAATTGTGTTTGCTGCTGCAGTCCTAATTTTCAGTGTCATTGACAGGCGTTAGCCAAGGCATGCAGCAATGATACATTTATCATTCTGTGTCATGCAGATTCAACTAATTGTGGATTGAAAGTATTTGAAAAAAATTGCATCTGTACTAAACACTTTAGACTATTTTCCTTGTCTTCATTCCCCCAAACAATTCAGTATAACAGCTATTTATATAACACTTACATTGCATTAGGTATTAGAGGTAATCCAGAGATAACTTAGAGCCCAAGCGAGGATGGGCACAGGTTATGTGTAAATACTGTACCATTCTGTGGAAGAAACTTAATATCCCCAGAGGTGGAGTAATCCTGGAACTGACCCCCTTTGGATACTGAGTGACCACTGTATTTACTGAACTCAGTAACTAGTTATACTTCTCTAGTTTACTGCCATTGATAGAGTTAAACTTTCTCTAGAATTTATTCAAGGGAGGAACCAGCCATTTTCTTCTCTTAGATGAACTTTTCTTGCTGTCATCGAGCCTTCCATGTGTGAAAAGGAAGCGGCAATGACTGACCTGATCCCACAGCAATTGGTGATGAATTAAGTCTGGAAACCATACTTTCAAGGCTTTATTTCAGGAAGTGACTGTGGTCCAGTACAGTGGTTTCTAAGTCTTTTTTGTTCCTCCAGAAACTATGTTTGAATGAAATCAGGAAGCTTGACGTGTAAAAAAAAAAGAGAGAGAACTTTTTTGGTTGAACCTGGGTAAGGAGCCTGTGCTCTTGGTCCCCAATGTCACTGAATTGGTCGTAATGCCTGTATGTAGCTCTGAGGAGACAGAGGATGCTGAAGAGCGTGGTATGAAAATGACTGGCAGACCTGAGCCTGTCCCTATAGCCCTGGCTCTGAGAATAAGAAAACATCACTTGGGGTTGAATTCTGGCTCTGCCATTTTCTCACTGTGTGACCTTGGCCAGTGATTTGACCATTCATTTTAAGAGAATTAAATGATTTTACACTTGTAAACCCTTTTTCTATAGTACTTGTTCAATAAACTAACTTTCTTATCTCCCTCATGCATCCTTTTGTTTAAAGTAGATCAGAGGTCATTTTACCATGCATGGCTGATTCATGGAATCATGAAATGGAATGTCACAGCATATCCAGCCTGACATTCAAGACACCCATTTATTCACCTGTTCTTTAATTCATTGAATAATATCTATAGGTACTACATGCTAAGCATTTTACTGAATGCTAAAGATGGAGGGGAGGTGAATAATACAAACATTGTCCACACCCTGGCAGAACTTCCACCTCAGCATGGAAAATAGAACCCTTCACCACACCAATGAACTGGGAAGCAGTGACATTTGTGCCCCTTGAGCCTGTCTTGGACTTTGCTGCCTCTTCATTCCAATCTTGCCCAGTCTTCCCCTCCTCACTCCTCTGAGGCTCACAGGCAACTCATAGCTTTTTCCATCCTCAGTGTTCTTTTTCCCTTTGATCTTGCTGCACAGGTCTCCTTTTTGGTGCTTATTTATTGCATCCATCAGGCTAGAGCCATGGTTTGGTGGACTGTGGGTCTCATAGGCATTAGTTATCCTCTCTGTTTCACATAAATATGTCCCCTGAGCCTGGTACAGTGCTCACAACATGAATATTTGTTAAAACATGTATTTGCTGTTGTTAGTTTATCTACATCCAGGACTCGTGCATGCTAGGCAAGTGGTGTACCGCTGAGCTCCATCACAGCTCTTGGTGAACTTTTTCTATAAAGGGTAAGATAGGAAATATTTTACACTTTGCAGGCTAGATGTAAAAATAGGTCACAACAATTAAACTCTGTCACTGTAGTGCAAAAGCATCCATAGATGACGTAGCCCTGACTGGCCTTGAACTCTTGAACCTCCTGCCTTCTCCTCCTGAGCGTTGGAATTATAGATGTGCACCATCACGCCTGGCTAGATGATATTTTAAATACAAGCAAGATCTCTGGGCTTGCTACTTGGGAGGCAGAGACTGGGTTCAAGGACAGCCCAGGCAAAAAGTTAGTAAGGATACCACAACAAAAATCTGGGCTTGGTGGTTCATGCCTGCAATCCCAACTATGCAGGAGGCCCTAGGTAGAAGGATCTCAGTCCAGGCTGGCCGGAACAAAAATGTGATACTTTATCTGGAAAATAACTAAAGCAAAAAAGGGCTGAAGGCATGACTCAAGTGGCAGAGCATGTGCCTAGCAAGGCCCTGAGTTCAACCTCCAACCCCACCCCCCCAAAAAAACCATAGTCATGTCCCAATAAAAATTTTATTTTATTGAAAAAAAAATGGGGGCAGATTTGAGGATTTATATGCTGCTTTTTTTTCTCTATAAGTGCTTACTACATATTTCTCAATTTTATTTTTATAAAAATTTTATTTTATTGAAAAAAAAATGGGGGCAGATTTGAGGATTTATATGCTGCTTTTTTTTCTCTATAAGTGCTTACTACATATTTCTCAATTTTATTTTTATGCTAAGCCAAAATATAGTGCTCACATTTTAGATTGAAGAGAAGTTTGATGTGTATTCCTTTAAAAACTGAGATTGTCTGTTACCGTTTGTGTTGTTTATATAGGGCCATGGTGGTAAGGGATGCAGAAAGCTATGATGAAGTCCCAAAGACAGGTGAGCAGGCCAAAGCGGGGAAGACAGGATAGGAAGGGAACTTGTACTATGGAAGGGTCAGGGAGTCACTGTTCTCTGCTCTGTGTCCACCAGGGTAGTAGTTTTTGTAAAACGTGAAGATTTACCGTAACAGTATTCACTCTTTTCAAGCTCCTGGCCCACCATTTTGAAAAGTAGCCCCACCTACTGGGAGAAGTATTCAGTCCTAAAGGAAGATCTGATGATAGAATTATATGACAATAGATAGGGTCACACTTTGCTGGGTACCTATGACCTTTGAATGTTCTGATGTTTTACACTAGTTGTCCTGGACTGGAGCTGCCCCTTGGCATCAACGGCAGAACCCCACCAATGTTTGTTTGGGTTTTACCTTTAACTGATCAAATCTGAATGCCAGGTCATTCCAATGTGTTGCCCAAGACAAAAAACACTTTGTCTCCTAAAAATTCACTGGAAAGTAATATGACTTATACCAATATATTGAATCTGGTTAGGAAAACCATTGGTCTCTTATGCAAATGCCTTCCAAAGATTACAGGCTAGTTGTTAGACAACTAACACTATTCAACCTTGTATACTCCATGAGCCCATAGGCTTGCGGTGACTGTGCCGTTCTCCTGACCATCATCTCCACCCAGCACTCTTCAGGGCTTGCCCTAGCCCAGCCAATGCCAGAACTGAGTTTAGCACACTGGAAGGGCTGTTTCACCCTACTCTGACCAGGCACTGGCTGAGCTCCACTGTTCCTGCCTCACTTGTAACCTTTGCTCTCTTTCAGCAAGTTGTTAGTTAGTCTCAAATTGTCCTGCTATTATTAATGCAGTGTAAACCACTGGATTAGCTCATAGCCCAAAGAAAAGCACTTTTCTTTATCTACCTCAGTTTGGGTCATTAAATCTGAGCTCTTAGATATTTGAAAGCTTCTGTTTCTCCAGGGCCTTTTGGGTTTAACAACTCTAATCTGCAGCTCTGCTTTGAGCCAAGACCCCTGCTGCTGTATTTATCATTCTTTGGCTTTCCCTCTCTCCTATACCTGGTGACAACCCATCCAGTCCTCCCTGAATTCTCCTTCTCATACCATTCTTAACAGAAGAGGTGTGTCAGTGCTGTGACCCTTACATGGCCACAGGTCTGGGGCTTGGCAGGAAGGAGAAATGGAAAGCCAAGAAAGTACTTGAAGGGAAAGAAACATCAATCATAGCATGTACTGTAGCTTGAAAAAGAGCTTTGTTTTTTATTCAAAATATGTGGGAGTTGAAAGGAGGGAGGAAAAATTCAAAGACTTTTTTACCTCGTGAAATCAATTGGTACCGACGTGTGTGTAAACGGGGAATTGTGGTCTTTCATGAACATCATTTTTAAAAAGGCAGCAAAGAAACAGATAAAAATCTGTCTGGGGATCACACTTGTGAGACAACCTCTTCTTTGCAACAAGGAGGCCTTTTTGAAGGTTACAGTCAGGTTCTGCTGTGCTGAAAGAGAACAAAGGTTACAAGTGAGGCAGGAACAGTGGAGCTCAGCCAGTGCCTGGTCAGAGTAGGGTGAAACAGCCCTTCCAGTGTGCTAAACTCAGTTCTGGCATTGGCTGGGCTAGGGCAAGCCCTGAAGAGTGCTGGGTGGGGATGATGGTCAGGAGAACGGCACAGTCACCACAAGCCTGTGGGCTCATGGAGTATACAAGGTTGAATAGTGTCACCCCCAAAATCCATACCTACTTGAAACCTCAGAGTGTGACCTCATTTGGAAATAGGATCTTTGCAGGTGACTTTAGCTGAGTTCATATTGGATTAGGGTGAACAAGTGACTGGTGTTCTTAGAGAAAGGGAAAACAGCCAGAGGAGATGGAGACAGAGATTGGGATAAATCAGCTGTGAGCCAAGAAATGCCAAGGACTGTCAGTAACCACCAGGAGTTAGGAAGGGACAAGCAAAGATTATTCTCTAGAACCTTCAGAGGGAACATGGCTTTGACAACATCTTGACTTTGGGCATCTAGCCTCCAAATGCATGAGAAAATAGATTTCTATTGTTTTATGACACCTAGTTTGTGGGAGTTGGTTATGGCAGCTCTAGGACACTCTTACATGATATATGAGCAGTCTACTAAAAAAAATGCTGCCCTTTGACATGAGGCCTGGCAGCATCATCTCATAACATAGAGCTGGCTCCCAACACACCAGCCAAGTACATCCAGGCCACCTGGAGGTGACTATAAGTTAGGGGTCAAAGAACATTTTCTAATTGTGATCCAAGTTAGGTAATGTGTTTGTCACCTTCTCATCCCTATAACAAATACCTGAGCCAGTCAACTTATAAAGAGATATTTATCTGGGCTCATAGTTTTGGAGGTTCTAGTCTATGATTGGCTGGCCCCATTACTTTTGGGCCTGGAGTGAGTGAGATATCACATCATGGCAGGAGCACATGGAGGAGTAAAACCACTTATCCCATGGCCAGGAAACAGAAGGGAGTGAGGAGAAGCCTGGAATTCTACACTCCATATCATGCAAAGGCCTCCCACAAAACACCACCTGTCAAAGGCTCCACCACCTCTCAATGGGTCACTCATGCTTATTCATTCCATTTGTACCAGTTTGAGGACTGGTTGAGTTGGAAGGTCCAAAAATGGCTTTACTAAGGGGTCTGACCACTAATGTTGCTGTTGGTCAGGCTACCTCAGTTCTCCATCTGGGTTCTCATCTCCAGGAGGTGCGAGCTGGTAGTCTTGGGCAGCGTTCCAAGGCATTGGAGCTGAAGGAACTCTTGAGCCCACCCCAGCACCAATCCTCCACATTCTCTTGATTGAAGCAAGCCACAGGACAGCCCAGATTGAAGAGGCAGGAAAATAGGCTCCACCTCTTGAAGAGGGGAGAGAGAAGGTCACACAGTGTACGGTGTGCAGACTCAGATGGAAGGAACTAGTGGCCAAAATTTATAATTGACTCCATCCTCCATCAACAGAATGTGTAATGAATCTTTTAAACCACCTATCTGTAGATGTCTTATACTGCTTAAACAGAGCAAACTAAAAACAACTCCTCCCACCATCTATAGCTACCCCTTATGTGTAGCATAATTTTCTTCGTTTTTAGTCCATTCATTTATTCAACAAGCAATAAGAGCACTAATATGTCTTGTATGATCTCACAGTCCAGTTGAGGAAACAGACAGATAAAAAGAAGTGGATGTTTATCAGGAGCACTGTAGCCCAGGCAAGGGTTAAGCTGTTTTTTTTTATTTGTGTTTATACTTGCAACTGTGTTTGGATGGTTTTTAGATGGGGATATTAATAATACCTGATTTATAGGGTTTTTGTGGAGATTAAATCAACACATGCAATGAGTTTAGGATACTCAATAATAACAGTAGCTATTTTATTGCTTTAAACAAGTGCCATAAGCAGAACTATAATCTTGGAATTGCTGGGAGTAGTGTTGCATGACTATGATCTCAGCCCTGAGGAAACTGAGGCAGGAGGCTTATGAGTTGAAGTCCAGCCTGGGCTACATAGTGAGTTCCAGGTAAGCCTGGGCTACATAGTGAAACCTTCCTCAAACAAATAAAAAATAAATAAATAAAATCTAGTTTGGAATTCATTAAAATAGTCATTTTGAAAGTAAAAAAAAAAGGTGGTAGCTTAGCATGGCAACATTTTTCCTTTCTGCTCTTCTTGGAGGTAAAGTATAATTAATGTGCTTGATTAAGGACTCATTGGGTAGAAATAAAGATGACTGAATCTTGCTATTTCTTGGCTAAGCAGCAATGCTTCTTATCCAAGACTGGAAAGTATTTTGTGAACTTTATGTCCTGTGATCTTAAGTAGGTGTAACAAGTCTTAAGGATGACTGGGAGAACTTTTCTGGCATCTGGAAGGCCCCTGTGTTCCCAGCACAGGGCTTCTGTGGCATTCTTCCTGCATGAACTCAGCAGGTGTGCATCATGGCCATTGCTCACGCCACACCTGGATCCCTACTTGAATGGGTTCTAAGTGTCTTGACGAGAAACACCCATTCAGTTCCTGAGGTAATAGGTTCCATCTGAGAATCCAATGCCTGTCATCATATTCCAATTGTGGCTTTGGTAGGTGAATGTCTCAGAGGAGCATACTCATAGGACAGGCTGTGGGAACTTACTCACCTTTTCTTGGGGACAAGAACTTGGTGGCTGTTTCCATTGTGGTGTTGATCACTCAGGGAAAATCATGCTAGTGCAGAGGCAGGGAACAGACTGCTCTAAGAGCCTCTCCTCAAGATAGCCAGGAAGAGGTAACTGAGACTGAGTACATACTGAATATCTCTCAAAATGTCCCTTTATCAACACCCTCTGAGGCCTGAGAGCAGACCACAAGCATTAAGGGTGTTCTTGGTCCTCCTTTGTAATCACAGTTATGGTCAGATGTCTTTGAGGATTAAAAAGATGGGACATCTCACCAACAGAGAAACCACAGTATTCTAGCACTTGAGAACATTTGGCTGACACCTGCCAAGGCACTTGACAAGAGTGGCTTGCTGTTCAAGGCAGAGCTGGAACCAAATCAGGCCTATGAGTTGAATGGCTTTTCCCTAGCTTCACTGGGACAGGAGCAGACACACTTGACAGAATATGTCTTTATCCTGACCCAGCCTGATTTTTCCCCATCATGTTTACAGCTGAGGGCATCTCATGAAAGACACCAAGTCCCTCCCTGTTGCACATTCATGTTCAGAATCTCTCCTGACCCTGCTCCACCCCTCATCCTGTGGTAGAGTTCTCTGTGAACTATGTTTGCCTTGTCCTGTATACCTCTCCCTAGTCTTCTTCTGGGCTCTGTCACCTTGACTTCCTGACTTGCCTCCTCTGAAACACATGCTAGGGTTCCCTTGTCTCTGTGTCCCATAACATTAGCAGATCTCAGTACCTCCCATCCCATAGCTCCTGAGACACCAGGCCAGGCCTCAGCTGGACTCCCATTCACATGGAAGAAAAGGCCACCACTCTGAATCCTCTCCAGATCACCCTCCATATGAAGCAAATAATGGTATGGCCTATAACAGGGATTTGGACATGGGATGTTCTGATTCTACCTGTCATAGTCAACTTGGGCTTCCTTAACAAAATACCATAGACAGACTGGCCTAAATAACAACAACAAAAAATGTATTCTTTACTGTTCTGGAGGTTGGGAAGTTCAAGATCAGGGTGCAATGTGGTCAGGTTCTGGTGAGGGTCTTTGCCCTGGTTTGCTGAAGGCTATTTCTCAGTACTGGGAGGGTGGGGGAGGGGGGGCAAGAGAAAGAGAGAGAGAGAGAGAGAGAGAGAGAGAAAGAGAGAGAGAGCACTCTTGTAAGGGCACTAATCCTATCATTAGGATATCAATTCATGACTTCATCTGAACCGAATCACTTCCACAAAGCCCCATTCCCAAATACCATTACGATGGGGGTTACAACTTCCACATACAAATTTGGGGTAGGGGACACAGTTCAGTCTACACCACCAATCCAAACATGAAAGGTTTCATTGCCATGTGCAGAGACAGGTTAGGGATAGGCCAGTAGTGGGTGGACAGGGGCCTATTGGTTCAGAGTCAGGGATTTGCAACACTCTCTGAGATCATGTGTGGGTACTCACGGGCCAGTTTTGAATCAGACTGCCTACATTCAAGTCTTGGCCCCATCTCTTATTAGACCAGGTTGCTTAACTCACTTTCCATACTTATAAACACTAGTAGGATCTACCTTGCAGGGCTGGGTAAGATCAAATGAGGTGACACACATAAGATAGTCTCTTTAAAAAGTGCTTTAGAAAAGGCTAAGTAAATGGTAGCTCTTTTTACTTTGAGCTCCCCTGTGTGTTGTTAGAATCAATCCCTCTTGGTCATGAGAGTATGAAGTGGGAATCAGGCTGCCTGACCAAAGTGTTTTAGAGAAGATTGGATCAAACACATCTCTGAATTCTTGATGAGAATCCTAGGACTGAGCTCTAGAGCTAGTGTGTTGTGACAATTCCTTGTATAGGTGCTAAGAAGCCAGGCACAAGCCAGGACATGGACTCTACATGGATGGGCAGTAGAGATGTAAAGATAGATGGCATATGGAGCCTCAGGCAATTGTGTAGTTCAAATGTTAAAGCATGAACTCAGTTCTGAACCATTACAGAGCTCAAAGATGTAGATTAGATCTAGTAGCACACTTCTACTTGCACTTTCCCCACATAACTCTGTGGCTAGCTCTCTGACTTCAGGTTTCTGCACAAAATCACCTAATGTTTCACTGAACGTATGACATGATATGTGTACTATATATGCTATATATGCATGTGTATATGTGTAGTTTGATAAGCATTAACACATGCATACATCCAATGAAACCATCACCACAATCAAGATTATGAATACATCTAGCCTCCTCAGAAGATTTCTCTAGGCAGATGCAGTAATGGACATCTATATTCCAGCTACTGTGGAGATAAAGATAGGATTGAAGTCTGAGGTC